CCCCCCCCCCCCCCCCCCTGAACGGTCTGTTTTTTGTCCCGTCGAGTTTTTTTTTTTTTTTTCCAACCGCCGTGAGAAGGTTGGTGCGTTGACTGATGTTAGTTGGTACCTGGGTGACCATGCAAAAATCTTTCTCGGAGGGGGTTGTACTCATAGTCGTGCATGCGGTAGTCGTTGGACCCTGGACCTCGCATCACTACAAAGCCGGGACAGAGTACGCCAGGTTCTCACCGGACCAGGCTCTCACATCACCAAGCGCGAAGCACCGTGAAGTATTTGGCAAGACGCATGGAGGGTGCGCTGCATCCTGCTAAGGGTGTTCGGCATCTCGTGCTTACTTCCTTGCATGCGGATGACAGCTGCGTATGGCTTGATTTATTTTATCACTCTGGGGGGCGATTGATTTCTCACGGAGAGCACGCCGCTCAAACGTTTCGAGATCCCTTGTTGTTCTTCTTTTTCCCCTTACGAGCAATGAGCAGAGGCAGGAGCAGGACAACAATTTATCAGCCCCAAGGAAAAACAACGTTTTCGGCCTTGATGGACACGAACACCGGCAACAACTTAAGCTATATGGAGAACACGCCAAACACCACCAAATCAGCCCAAAAAATACACGATGTTCTCGAGCTTAATGAACGCCAACGCCGACATCAACTTCAAGCTGTGTAGATAGACGAAAATACCGAACACGAAATATCAGCATCAGGATCTTTTCTTCGCAACCCTTGCCATCGTCCTCGACAGGAGCTTCACTCCCATCGCCGACCTCGGTATCGACACCGGCGGGGGATCGGGGAGAGGCACGCTGGACCAGCTGCGACGGAGCTACACGGCGAAGGATGCATCGTCCTCCTCCACCGCCTCGAAGCCGGGGTCGAGACCCACCGTGAAGGTGCGTGTGCCTCCGGCTGGCTGCGGGGTGGGGGGGGCGTACTCTTATGTTTTGCATGCCTCAGCGGTTCGACCATTGACCACGCGTCCTCGAGAGGACGGAGCATTGTTCCCACAGGACCGATCACCGATGGCCAATCGTCCCTTTCTACTTTGCCAAAGGTGGCTCAAAAATGTCGCGGGGTGGGGCGGGGTTAATTAGCAGTCTCTTCCTTGTTGAGACGCGTTCAACACCACTAGTGGTGGTCAGGCGGGTGTGCGCTGTTGGGGTTGTTTTCAGGCGGAAAATTGAGAGGCCCCGCGCACGGTTCTTCGGGGG